TAACACATTTGAGATTTCCAGCACCAGCATCCAACTGAAATGGACCTGCAGGTTCCCTGATGCCTGCCAGGGCATGAGGGCCAGGTGCCGCCTGGCAATGCCTTCCTCCCCTCCCTGTGAGGCTCAGGAGGTGAATGGAGAGCAGATGTTACATGGCCAGGAGGGAACATTCACCTGCTCCCCTCTGCAGCCCTTCACTGAGTACAGTGTCACCATCGACTTGCCCCCCAACACAACCCTGTTCTCATGGTTCTTCACGACTCAGGAAACAGGTATGTGCACAGAAATATCAGAGACAAGGAGCAGTCCAGAGCTGTGTCACAGGCTGTGGGTAGATGTTCTCCTCACCTCTCAGCTCAGCCTGATCATTTGCTCCGTGCTGGGATGTGCCTGGGATCAGAGCTGCTTGGGTCATGTGGAGCTCTGGGGAAGGGGCTGGGAGAGCCCTGAGCAGGGCACAGCCCGTTCTCACTGTCCCACTCCACACCACACTGCTGTGCTTCCCACGGCTGCAGCCTTTGCAGGGGACAAACCCTTCACAGGGAGTCCCTCTGCAGCCTGTCCCTTGGCCAGGAGCTGCCACAGCCTCCTCTGGCCTCGGCCCCTGCTCATGGCCCTGTGTGTGACCCCCCTGTCTGTGCTTGCAGTGCCGGACAAACCGGAGCAGCTGTGGCTGGATCCCGACAGGGGCTCTCTCAGGTGGAGCTCGCTGCCCTCCTGCAACGGGGAGATCATCGGATACCAGGTACCAAGGGACCAGGGCAGACCCTCACCTCCCGGCCTGGAGCTCTGTGCAGGCACATTGGGAACTGTGGGCACAGGGCAGCCGTGAAGAAATACAGGAGGATTGAGAAGCTCAGGGCTCCTCTTATGGAGCATGTCACCATTGCAAGGCCTGTCCTCGGGCTCAGTACACATATCTACAGCCCCTGAAAAGAGCAGCCTCCCTCTGCCCTTCTCAGAGGCTCAGCCCTTTGCTCACAGAGGCTGCTGCTCACACATCCTCAGCGTCGGCTCCAAATTCCTCCTCTCCCCTCCTCTGTTTGGAGCTCCCCGCACGGGCTGAGGCTCCTGCCCGTCGCTCTCCGGAGCCCGGCCCGGGCACAGGGGCAGGCACAGGGAAGGGCAGGCTGGCAGGGACGGTGCCAGCTGCGGGCACCTTGCCGGCGGGCAGCCGGGAGCTGCTGCGTTCCAGCTGCTGCCTTCCTGTCCGCAGCTGAACATCACGGCCAGGCAGGCCGGGGACAGCAGCGTGCTGGAGACCGAGCGGCTGCGGCTCGATGGCTCCGTCACTGAGCACCGGCTGCCGGAGCACAGCCCCGACAGCAGCTACGCCGTGACCGTCCAGGGACTGACGGCTGCCGGAGCCGGGGCTGCGCTCATGACGGAGTTTCACACCAACAGCAGCTCCGGTGAGCTTTGCCGCGGGGCCGGGCACCGCCGAGCCGGGCCCGGCAGCCCGCGCTGCCCGAGGCCGCCCCTGCTGCTCGCCCGGCCCTGCCGTGCTCAGTCCCCGGCCGCTCCCCTGCAGACCCGCCGCGCTCCCCGGCCATCAGCTGCCGCAGCGCCCGCGACATCGCCCCGTCGCGAGGGACGGCCGTGCTTGCCCTGCGCCCCCTCGCCCGCGGCTCTGAGGCCGCCAGGTGAGCGCAGCCCCGCGGCGCTGCAGCCCCGCCGCGGCTCTCCCCGGCCGGCGCTGGCCGGCACACGCCTCCCTTGCCCTGGGCCCCGTGCCCGCTCCCAGCGCCTTTGGGCCCCGCAGGGAGCACCAGCTGATCGTGGCCGCGACGCACAACGCCTCGCTGATCGAGAGCATCTGCTCGGGCCAGCCGCGCCTCTCCAATGACAGCGTGTACCTGGCCGCCCTCCTCAACCTCTCCGCCGCCACCGACTTCGTGCTGGGCGACGGGAGCCGCGGGCCGGGCCGGCACAACGCTGCCCTCCGCCCGGGCCAGGCCTACACGGCCCTGCTGCGCCTCGTCCGCCTCGGGCCGCAGGTACCATCGGGGGCTGCTGCTCTCTGCGGCTGCTGCACCCCGGGCCGGGCCCTCGCTGCCTCTGCGCTGCCCGCGAGGCCTCGCTCCTGTCCCGTGCCTCAGCACCGACGTGTCCCTGGGGTCCCGGCCCACAGCCGGCTCACTCGGTGGCCCTGCCTGGGCACCATTGCCTCCAGCTAGGCTAGCGCTGCAGGAGTGGGCTGAGCTCTCCCTCCTGTCTCCTCCAACAGGCAGAGAAGTTCACCTGTGTCTGCTACAGCTTCTCTGTTGGTAAGTGTCTCCTTGCTCCTGCTGCCCAAGCCACTCTCCTGCCTGTTCCCTTTTGCCAGCCTGGCAGCTTCCCTGGAAACAAGCTGGCCCAGGGTAGATGTAGTGGAGTATTGCCATACTTTGGCCTTCATAAAAGTTCTCTATACTTTGCGACTATCTATGGTAGATTCGGCTTTGGATATCCTCAGGACTCTTGGGTAGTTGGGGGCCCAGTGGCCACTGGAGATTGCACATCCTCCCTGCCATCACCATATATTGTCAGCACTGGTCTCCAACAGCTTCCTGACACACAGCATGCCAGACACAGGTGCAGTCCACCCTCCTCCTCCTCCCAGCTGGAGTCCACCTTCCCCTGCTGAGGAATCCAGGCATGTGCTCCAGGAGCTGGAAGGATGGGCTACACCAGCACTGGAGCCAGCTGGCTTTGGCAGGAGAGCCAACATCCAGGACACAAAGTGTTCATCAGGCAGGTGGACCAGAAAAGGGCCACTCATCAGGCAGGATGCTTTGGTGCCCCTTCAGTTCTGCAGAACCCGCCACTGAGGGAGTGGGTATGTGCCAGCAGCAGAAAATGGGGTTTTCAAAGATCTCATTGGCACCTGGCCTCAGGATGATCTGAGCACAGAGGGGCTGGGGCAGCTACTGGGGCAATGCAAGGCATGGCTCTTTTTTTGGTGTTGCCATCTCAGCGGGGTTTGAAGTCAGTACCTACCACATTTTTAATAAACTGTCTCCGCCTCCTCTTCAGCATCCTCACAGCCTGGGACACATCCACCATGCCCTCGCTTTGGATCTGCTCACACAGGAAACCAGCAGCACAGAAGATCCCACTGCGGCTGGCTCCATCCCTGTGGAGGAGGGCAAGGGGAACTTCATTTGCTCTGGGATGGCAGGTGGCAGGGATGAGCCTCAGAGGTGTCCCTGTACACCCCCAAACTCTCAGCATGACCTTGGCCACAGATCCCACACCCAACCAGCCTCTACCGGGAAGCCTACCTCCCTCAACATAGCTGAATTCATATCCACATATCCCTCTGAGATGGAACTGTCACCAATTTCACTGGCACAGCCTGAGCTGTGTCCTGCTCTGTGCCATGGCTGCTTATCCAGAAGACATCACTCACCAGCAGGTGACAAGGATATGTCCATCCTGGCTCTGCCGATGGTGTGTCTCCACCTTCCCTAGCAGGCTGATGATGGTGTCAGGGTGTGGGGGAAGGTGCTCCTGCATGGGCCAGTCTGTCAGTTCATGTAACTGGATTTCCACTGCAGACTTCTTGGGCTAGTGGGGAAGAAATACAGTGGGCTGGGCTGAGCAGCGACCTACTGGCTTCATGGAGGGAAAAGTAGGAAAGTCCTGGCTCAGACATGCACACTGGATCAAGGGAGCAGCTCCACAGTGGGACATGCCACTCCAGATTTTGCTCTTCTCCAACAAGTTGCTCTGAGACCAACAGACAGAGCATAAGAGAAGAGCTGAGCAGCAGGTGCAGCTCAGACTGACAGCAGTCTGTGTCCAGCTGCCTGCAATTGTTCCCCTTCCAT